CAAGACAAAAGTCAGTATTGGAGACCATCAGCATTTAAAACAATCCTGATTCTAGTTTGGTTAGCCCTGCTTAGGCTCAGAAACATGTCTAAATAAGTCTAAGTAAACACAGCTCCCTGCACCATCCTTAAATGCTAATTAAACTCTACTGTATAAAAAAGAAGCCATATGTAAACATCATCCAGAAACACTCATTTAATACAGACTAAGGCAAAATGAAAAACRGTTCTCTGGTCAAACAAGACAAAATTGAAAATTTCCATACTAAAAATGAGAGGAACCATCCAGCTTCTCTGATGGTATGGGGTTGCTTACGCCTCTGGAAAGGCACCATTAATGCAGAAAAATATATACAGATTTTAGACCATATGCTGCCATCCAGACATGCTTGGTTATTTTTTTAGAGAAGGCCTTGATTATTTCACCAAAACAATATTAAACCACATAAAACCTCCGTTACATCATGACTTCATACGAGTCCAGGTGCCTCAGTAACTGAAAACATTTGAAATGTAATCTGCATTAATGATCCTTGCATTTACATTTTCTGTTGATCGAGAAAATCGTGCTAAATGTGAGCTTCCGATGCTGAAATAACAGACGATGATTAAAAGAGCCAATAAAATCTTACTTAGCTCAGATAAAGACAAACACTTAACACAGTGAATAAATAATGGGTTTGAATTTGAAAAGTTGCACAAAGGAGGATAATCCCCACCAGCTTTTTCCTTTAGGCCCACGAGGGCCCACAACAATAGGTGCCCACCACTATTGCCTATACACAATTAACTAAAGACCAGCATTATTCCATTATCATAAGAATGCTTCTGGTCATGGCTGGGGGGGCTCAGAAACTTCTTGGCATTCATGTAGATTTTATCTTCTCAATTATATGCAGGCTGCATTTATTATACCACCTAGTGGCATGTTTGGTCACTTTCTGTGCAGGACAAACACTTTAGTCACTGTGGTCATTTAAATGTCCTGTTTATCATAACAGGCTCCAGAGGGACTGTGGGGGGTGGGGGGCCAGTAAGGGCACAGAAGATTATAGGTACAAGCTCTAGCATGATCAAAAAAAATCAGGAAAAAAAGCTAAAACTAATAAATTTTTTGCAGTGTTACAGCTATGTTATTTTTATTTAGAATTACATAATCTTTCTTTTATTAAGTATAAGATTTGCAGTAGCAATTAAATAGATATCAGAAAGTTGGGAATTCTTGGTATAAAGTTAAAGAATGATGCGTAAGACTAAATGTCTTTTTTTAAATTTATTACCTCGTGACTCCGTTATTGTTTGAGACGCTTTTGATCTGATGAGATCTGTCCGGGTCGTGCAGGAAATAAATGACCACAAGGTGTCGATGTTGTCAGACGAGGATTTTGGTGGCGAGGTCATTTTGCTCCATTGATGTGAAAACCATTGAGGGGAGCAGCAGGTAGACGTGCCTGCTGGGTGTGCCGCTGAAATAAATGGGTTCGGGGGGCGGTGGGATTTTTCTGTGAAGCAGAACTAGATGGCAGCAGAGAAGAGATTTCATCTTTAAACATCACTAGTTCCAAATGTGGCGGGAGTTTCAGAGAAACTGAGACGTTTATTCTCTAAACATGACATCCCAGTGGCTTTCAAACCCCAAAACACGTTACGACAAAGATTAGTTCACCCCAAAGATCCAGTTCCCCGGCAAAAAACAGAATAATATAGTATATGCTGTTAAGTGTCAGGAGGACTGTGATCAGTATACATTGGGGGAAACAAAACAGCCACTGTTCAAAAGAATGAGCCAGCACAGACGAGCCACATCATCAGGTCAGGACTCTGCAGTTTACACTCATCTACAGGCCAGCGGTCACTCTTTCAGGGATGAAGATGTTCTCATCCTTGATAGAGAGGAACGTTGGTTTGAGAGAGGAGTAAAGGAAGCCATTTTTGTGAAGAAAAACCGTCCACCATTAAACAGAGGTGGAGGCCTTCGTGTCCAGTTGTCCCCCTCCTACAATGTTGTTATTGCAAGTATGACTCAAGGCTGGTTTATACTTCTTGTTGCATGTCTTTTACCCACCGCTGAGTGAGTGATTGGTTCAAAGTTTGTGGGCGTGTTTTGTTTGGATGTCGATATATGTATCACACGGCTACCCGCTACTCGCTTCCAGAAGTTTTTGTTTTGATATGGARAGTTTTGAAGAGAAACTCGCCGAGGCAGTCCGGAGGCACAACCACCTGTATGACTCGTCTACTGCGGAGTACAAGGATTGTCAAATGGTAAAAAATTCATGGAGAGAGATTGCACAGACGTTGCAAATCGAGGAGGCCGTCTACCGCAAACGATGGCGGGCTCTCCGTGACCGGTTTGCAAAGAGCAAATGGAGAATGCAGGTCCGGAGCGAGGATCCTGGCAGGACCAATCCAGTTCCT